CCAACTTCTATACCAAGCTTTTCTGGACCCCCCTCAGCTATTAGCGCCTTTCCCCCCTCCCCTCACATCACTTTGTATGTATTTTATATAAGACTATATTTTTAGGTGCTGCCTTCTCTGACAGAATATAAAGTCCTTTAGGACAGGGACTATTTTCATTCTTATCTTTTGTGTCCACACTCAACACAATGCCTGGCATGTAAGAAATGCTGAATAAATGCTGTGGACTGATTGATGTAGATCAAATTTTGGTGTGAAAATCCTCTGTTCTTCATGTACATCCCTGACTCCTTTGTGTTTTTTGTTGTCTGACCCCAAAATAATATTAACAATAATCATAATAATGAGGATGAGGAAGAATAGAACTGACATTAACATAGCACTTGAAGGTTTACAAAGCACTTTGTATATATTATTTCATTTGATCCTTACAACAATCCTGTTAGAGAGGTGCTACTATAATCCCCATTTTACAGATGAGGAAAAAGCAGCTCAGAGGCTAGTAATATGCCTAGGGGCAAATAGCTGCACATATTTTTAATTGATTGATTAATTTTTAGTTTTCAACATTCACTTTTATAAGATTTTGAGTTCTAAATTTCCCCCCCTTCCTTCCTACTCCCCTTCCAAAGACAGCAAGCAATCTGATATAGGCTATACATGTACAATCATATTAAACATATTTCCCATTAATCATGTTGTGAAAGAAGAATCAGAGCAAAAGGGAAAAACCATGAGAAAGAAAAAAAAACAAAAAAAGAGAAATAGTTCACTTCAGTCTGCATTCAGACTCCATAGTACTTTTTTCCATCATGAGTTTTTTGGAAGGCAAATAGCCATGTTAAGAGGCAAGATTTTAATTTGGATCTTCCCAATTCCACTCAAGCCACTTAACTACTAGTTGGCTCAAAAATCACTTGCTAAGCTCTTTTTGTAGTGCCCAAGAATTGGAAATTGAGGGGATGCCCATCAATTGGGTTATGCTTGAACAAGTTGTGGTATATAAATGTAATGGAATACTACTGTTACATAAGAAATGATGAGCAGGCAGACTTCAGAAAAACCTGCAAAGACTTACATGAACTGATGCTAAGTGAAGTGAGCAGAACAAGGGGAACATTGTACACAGTAACAGCAACATTGTTCGATGACTAACTTTGATAGACTAACCTCTTCTTAGCAATGCAAGGATCTAAGACAACTCTAAAAGACTCATGATGGAAAATGCTATCCACATCCAGAGAAAGAACTATGGAGTCTGAATGCAGATCAAAGTATACTATTTACTCTCTCTTTTTTTTCCTTCTTTCTCATGGTTCCTCCCATTGGTTCTAATTCTTCTTTACAACATGATTAATGTGAAAATATGTTTAATATGAATGTATATATAGAGCCTATATCAGATTGCATGCCATCTTGGGGTGGAGGGAGGGGGAGAAAATTTGGAACTCAAAATCTTATGGAAGTGAATGTTGAAAACTAAAATTATATAAATTAACATTTTAAAAAATAATCAAAATTTTAAAAATCACTTGCTAAGACAGCTCAAATAACCTGGTTACTGCTGATGCAAAGAGGACAAAATCTAAACCCCCAAAAGTAAGCTCTTTCTGATTGATCAGAGAAACGATCAGCCTGTGAGGTATTTTATCATCCTCACCTACTCTAATATAAAATGACCATCAGTGGAAGCAAGGTGATAGATGTAAAACTATTTCACCCTATGGGGCAAGATACTTGAGCACAGGTTCCACAGTGTGTAATTCCTTCCCCACTCCAATCTCTAGATTCTTTCAAACTGCCTTCTAGGAAAGGTCCAAATAGATAGACAGCAACAGGACCAGAACAGATCAGACCAGCCTCCAAGCCACAGAGGGAAACGGATGAGGCCCAGGAATTGTAAATTCGTACACCAAGCTCCTGTACCTCAACGATCCCTAGATAAGTCCTCCTGTAGTTACTGATCAGGAGACAAGCTTAGTTTAAATGAGGCTTCTCACCATGATGTTCTCAGAGACATCATGACCTTAACTGTGGTCAGAGGGAGCAGCTGGAACTCGCCAGAAGGGCCCACTAAACCATTTCCAGTAGCCCCCTAGACCTCTTAATCACTGAGTAGACACTGCCTCAGTCAAACTGAGACCCGTTAAAAGACCTAAACTTGAAAAGGCCAAGGTCTCCCACTGCATCCTGGGCCACCTCCAGCTGTACTGGTCCCTGGACCCAACTGGCTCCAGAGGGGAAAGTGAGGATGGTGACAGCCCTCCCTGTCTTAAATCCAATTGCCTTGCATGTCATTGCATCATCTCCCTGATGTCCACTTCGAGAGCAACGGACAAACAAACAGCAGATCCCCGAGAGAACAGGCGGCATGTCATAATTGGCTACACCCCTCCGAATCTGCCCGAGAGTCAGGGAAAGAGAAATGAACAAAATCAGAGTGCAGGTTTTGTCTGATTTAACTAACCACAGCACAGATCATTTTCCCTTTTCTTATCTTTCCAGATAGGGGCTCACTCCCTCTAATTCGTTATTCCTAATTCTTAATTTTCCCTTTAGTTCTCTGCTTCCACTGGTGTCTGCAGCACACTCTCGTTTAGCCAGGATTGCAAACTCAAGGTGATCTTTGCTTGCCTTTCCCTGACCCCTTGCATCTATGTTCTTATTTTCCTACCCTTTCTACTTCTCATGTCCATCTCCTCCTTTCAATTCCCCCTGCAACCAGCCTTCTTCTGGCCTTCATCTTTTCCTACCTAAATTATTGTAATACATATTTAACTGGCCTTTCTGCCTCCTGGCAATGCTGTCTCTAATTTTGCCCTTCACATAGCTGCCTAAGTAATCTTTCTAATGCAAAACTTTAATGTAGCTGCTCTATTAAAATTTTTAATGATCCCTATCACCTACCAAGTATAAACTCTAACATTTGAGGTCCTCCACAGTCTCACTCCAAGCTATCCTTCCATCCTTATCTCCCATACTATTCCCCTTCATGTATTCCATATTGTAGCCAAACTGTCTTATCCTCCATTCTCATTCTAACCACTTTGTACAAACCTGTTCTCTGCTTTCTATTTCTCCAAGTCTTTTACTTCTTTCAAGGCCCAATTTGGATGTCACCCCTTCCATTATTTCTTTACTTACCTTCCCAGGTGAAAAATAACTTCTCCTTCCCCAAATTTTTCACACTACTTTGCCTGACCCTCTCCCCTTGCACTCATCTCAAAGTCCTTTGTGTGATACTTATCTATGTGAATGTTTTTTCTCCCTATTAGACCAAAAACGCCCTGAGGGCAAGGTCCTATGAACATTCCTGGCACATAATACAGTTATCCCTTCCACATCTTGGGGTTGGGGCACAACATCGCCATGACTGGGAAAATTTGTATAAAAATTTTTGGCCCTCCCTTTGTACCAGAGAAGAAGTCTGAATTTGTTCTTTTTCTTTTATGGCACATTTACAGTACTTTATTGTAAAATTTGGGTTTATACTATACAAATACTATACATATATTTTATGCATTTCTGAGTTTCTAAACTTTTTCTGTGTCATCTATTGGTTTTGTGTGTCATCTGCGGCTTACACAAAACTCCTTCAAAAATTCCAATTTTATTTCTTATGCTGACTCATGACATATAAAAATCTTGATGGGGAAAGTCTGAATGTGGAAGAGATAACTGTAGATATTTAAGTGTTTGCTGAATCATAGGAATTTGTTATAAGAGTTCTGTTTTTTCTTGTTTTCTTTTCCAGTGAGGGGGAAATAGAACAGAAAGAAATTAAATGCTTATTAATTGAAAAAATAAAATTTAATTTAAAAAAAATTCATAACATACAATGCTGGATATTTCCCAGTATACTTTCCCATGTTAACTCATATTGTAGTTATTATGTGTGTGTGTGGGGGGAGAAAGATGAGAAGTGACAACAAATATTTATTGAAAGACTGAATTAAGATTTGAATCAGAGGACAATCCTGGCTCAATATAGGCAAAAGCAGCAAATGTACTAAACAGAAGAGTCTCCATTTTAGCCTGTTGTCTTAGGGGAGGTGCCTCTGGAGGAGTAAGGTAGAGAAGACACCTGACCCACAAGGTCTTAACTATATGGGCAATACTATTGTGAAGGCTGTCAGCAGAAAGAAGCTTTTTCTACTGGATTTAAGCTACTAGTGCTTTCTAGAAAGGACCAGAGATAGGACAGGAGGTTTTTTTGTTTTGTTTTTCCCCATTCAGTGAGCATTTAAGCGCTCAGTGTGAATAAGGCATCATACTAGGTCCTGGGAATATCAAGACAAAAAAAAATGATCAAGTTCCTGCCCTCAAGGACCTTACATTCTACTAGGGAGGAAATAGTATGCTCACAGATAAATTAATACAAGATATGGACAAAGTAAATACAAAGCAATTTAGATGGGGGCATGGGTTAGCAACTAAAGGGGATCAGGAAAGACCTTGTATGTGAGATGCTTCTTAAGCTGAGACCTGAAGGGAGCTGGGGTGGACAGAGATGAAGATGAAGTGTTTTCCAAGCACTGGAGAGAGTTGGGGGGAAGAGAGAACTACACAAGGACAAACGAATGTTCGGGAGCAACTGAAATGTAGAGTTGGCCTCTCACAAAGCAGAGTTATTGATTAATCTTTTTGGAACTGGTTTATGCAGGGCTTTTAGAGATTTCACATTGCTGAAGTCAGAGAAGCTGGCTATGAATGTTGTCGTCAGTGTTAGTATGTGAATTTTCAGTGGAGACAGGAAAGTCTTGGGGGGATGACTGTGGACAGCAGGCCAGCTAGAATTCTTTATTCACCAACCAAACCAAACCATTCACCTCAATAACGAAAGGACAGTACTGGGCTCACCAACTGTTTCACTGAGCTCCAGCCAAAGGCTTAGTAAAGGCAAGACCGAGAGTAGAAACAGGAAAGCCATCTAACAGTAACGAAATTAAACCAGTCTTTCCTTCTCTCCCTTCCCATCTGGTCAATTTACCTGGGCTTACCTGACTGATGAAGCCTGTGGAGGAACACTGCCTGACCCAAAGACTAAATTTCCTCTTTTTCCTCTTGCGCAGCTCTCGCTCTGTACATGTAGCGATGAACACTGGGTCCTCATCGATCAGGGGTTCATGTAGCACCTGCCAACATAATGAAAAGAGGAATCATAGAATCTTAAATAGCAGAGATGTCTGAAAGCATCCCACCCAATGCAACAATCTCTACCACAGCCTCCCTGACATGAATACCAATACTTAAATGTTCTTGACTACCTCTCTTTTTTCACTTTATATTTTATGTTTTCCCAATTACATGTAAAAACATTTTTAACATTCATTTTTAAAAATTTTGAGTTCCAAATTATCTTCTTCCCTCCTCCCTTCCCCACCTTCATTGAGAAGGCAAGCAATTTGATACGGGTTATACATGTGCAGTCATACAAAATATATTTCCATATTAGTCATGTGAAAGAAAACACAGACCCTCCCCCCCAAAAAAAAGAAAAAGAAAGTAAAAAAAAAAAGTTTGCTTTGATCTGCATTCAGACTCCGTCAGTTCCTTCTCTGGAGTTGGATAGCATTTTTCATCATAAGCCCTTTGGAATAGCCTTGGATCATTACATTTTTGAGAATATCTAAGTCATTCACAGTTAATCATCATATGATATTACATATACACAGTATACTGCGTATGATCTTCTCTTGGTTTTTGCCCACTCCACTCAGCATCAATTCATTCAAGTCTTTCCAAGTTTTTCTGAAATCCAACTGCTCATCATTTTTTATAGCACAATAGCATTCCATCACAACCAAATACCATAATGTGTTCAGCCATTCCCCAACTGATGGACATCCCCTCAATTTCCACTTTTTTTGCTGCCACAAAAAGAGCTTCTATAAGTATTTTTGTATGTATAAAGTCCTTTTCCTTTTTAAAAATCTTTTTGGGATACAGACCTAGTAGTGGTATTGCTGGGTCAAAGGCTATGCATGATTTTCTAGCCCTTTGAACATAGTTCCAAATTGCTCTCCAGAATGATTGGATCAGTTCACAACTCCACTAACAGTGCATTAGTGTCCCAATTTTCCCATATCCTCTCTAACATTTGTCATTTTTCCTTTCTGTTATATTAGCCAATCTGACAGGTATAAGAGGGTACCTTAAATTTGTTTTAATTTGGGTTTATCAAATCAATAGTGATTTAGAGTATTTTTATATAACTATAGATAGCTTTGATTTCTTTGAAAACTATATCTTTTGATCACTTATCAGTTGGATGACTTGTATTGGGAGATGGCTTGTATGCTCATAAATTTGATTCAGTTCTCTATATATTTGAGAAATGAGGCCATCGTCAAAGAAACTTGCTCTCACAGTTCTCTGTGATTACTGTGTATTTCCCTCCATCCTATTTTTCCCACTTACCCTTTTCTTTCTCTCTTTTTAGCCTGTCCCTCCTCAAAAGTGCTTTGCTTCTGACTACTGCTTCCCTATATCTACCCTCCCTTCTATCAGCCCCACCTCTTCTCCTCTTACTTTCCTGTAGGGTAAGATAGATTTCTGCACACAGCTGAGCACGTATATTATTCCCCCTTTGAGCCAATTCCAATGAGAGTGAGGTCCAAGTATTATTGGCCATCCCCACCTTTTTCTCCCTTGTAAAAACTCTTTCACACCTCTTTTATGTGAGATTATTTACCTTATTCTACATCTCCCTTCCCCCTTCTCCCTGTTCATTTTTAGATATCATCCTATCATAATCAACTCACATTCATGTCTACATATACTGCTTCTAATTGCCCTAATAACAATAAAGTTCTTAGTAGTTACAAGTATCATCTTCCCGTGTAGAAATGTAAACAATTTAATCTTACTGAATCTCTTATGATTTCTTTTTCTTGTTAACCTTCTTGTGTTTCTCTTGAGTCTTATACTTGAAAGTCAAATTTTCTATTCAGCTCTGGTCTTTTCATCAGGATTGCTTGAAAATCTTCTATTTCATTAAATAGCCATTTTTCCCCCTGAAGGATTATACTCAGTTTTTCTGGGTTTGGTGATCTCTTAAGACAGTCTCTTCTATTGTTGGAAAGCCCTAATTCTTAGAAAGTCCTTTCTTAGATTGAGCTCTTATCTATTTCCCTATCATTTCAATCTAGTTCTGCCCTCTGGAGTTGAATACAATCAACTTAATCCCTTATCATTAGGCCACACCACATACATGAAGTGTCAAGTTCTCATATTTTCACAGAATCAGAGTTTTAGAGTTGGAAAGAAATTTCAGGAACCTCTAATCCAACCCACACTCAAAAGAGAATTTCTAATATAACATAATAATAATAGCTAGAAATTATATAGTACTATATGGTTTGTAAGGCTATTTTTAAAGCATATATTATCTCATTTTTTGGAATATTATTGTACCATAAGAAATGACCAGCAGGATGGTTTCAGAAAAACCTGGGAAGACTTATATGAACTCATGCAAAGTGTAGTGAGCAGAACAAAGATTGTAGATAGCAATAGCAACATTGTAGCAATTATCAATTGTGGAAGACTTAGCTACTCTGGTCAATACAATGATCCATGACAATTCTGAAGGATTTATGATGGAAAATGCTATCCACCTCCAGAGATGAGCTCTGAATGAATGAACTCTGAAAATATGTGAAGCATATTTTCTTTCACTTTATCTTTCTTGCCTTCCCACCCCTTCCATGACTAATATGCAAATATTTTTTACATGACTTCACATATATAATGGTATCATATTGCTTGCCTGAAGTGGGCCATGAAAGAGGGAGAGAATTTAGAACTTGATATAAAAAAGAATATTACAAAAATGAATGAGTGAATAAAAAGAGAAAATCAGTTATTATCATACATAAGGTATAGGAAATATCACATAGATGATGTTGAATGAAGGAAATCGAAAACTGGAAAACAAAACAAAACAAATATTTCACTTTTTCCTAAAAACAATCCTGGAAAGTAGGTGCTTTATTATTCCTATTTTGCAGATGAAGAAACTAAGGCAGACAGAGATTAAGTGACTTGTTCAGGGTCACACAACTAATAAATATTCAAGGTTAGGTTTTAATTCAGGTCTCCCTGACTTCAGATCCAATACTCTTTCCCCTATATCACCTAGCTGTCTTTACCTGATAGGTAATCATCTAGCCTTTGCCTGAAGACTTTAATAAGGGAAACATATTACTTCCCTTAGTAGATCATCCCATTTTTGGACAACTCTATTAACTCAATTGTTTGGATAGTTGGACAACTCTAACTTGATTGTTAGCAAGTTTTTCCTGATTTCAACATATATTTACTTCTTTATAACTTCCATCTATTATTCCTGGGTCTGCCCTCTTAGGCCAAATCAAATAAGTATAATACCATTTCCCTGTGACAGCCCTTCAGATACTTAAAGGCAGTGATCACCTCATTTCCCTTGAGTTTTCTCAAAACTCCAAACTCAACTCTCCTAGTTTCTTCCAATTGCTCCTCATGGGGGTATAGACTGGGAACCCCAGACACCATCCTGGTCATCTAGCCTATATCTCTTTTTCTTTTCTGCAAAGGTACTAGATGTTCTCCTATTTCATGCTCAATACCCCCAGTTCCCCCAACTATTTCCTCACTCCCCTCTGTAAGGGCTCCAGTTGCTAATACCTGTCTGTAAACATGGCATCCAGAAATGGGAACACTACTTCGAGCACACAGAGTACAGACAGGAATTACTTCTTGTCATCTGAGTACTATATTTCTATTAATGCTGTCTAAGATTGCATTTCTTGACTGATGGCCTACTCTAATGATTCATTGTGGTATGGAGGGGACCCTGAGATCACAGAGGCTATGTATACTATCAGGGCAAAGCTCTAGCAGACCCCAGCAGAGCAAAAAGATTGAGTGAGGTCCCAGAAACAGCCTAAATATTTACCATCCAAGGACCAACCTGGGGAAGTGCACTGGTTTCATTGGGTTCAGAGAGACTTATCACCAGAAGGCTGGCCACCAAGTGATTCACTTTTTCAAAAACAACAATTTGTGAATATTGCCTATGCAAGTGGAGGAGGAGGTATAAAATAAGACAAACATTTTTGGGCACAGACAACATGAGGATTTGTTTTCTTTGACTATATTTATTTGAGGTGTACATGTAGGGAGGAGGGGAGGCAAGGAGAGCATTGGTGAGTAGTGATATTGATACAAAAAAACTAAGACAAGAAAATATCAATGAAACATTAAAAGAAACATGGAAGAGAGGAAAATTATGTTTGAAGGAGATACAGAAAAGCTGGTCAGTTTTGTTACTTTCAGGTGACAAAGTGGACAAAGTGCTAGGCCTGGAGTCAGAAAGATCATCTTCCTGACTTCAGATCTGGCCTGAGACACTTACTAGCTGTGTGACCCTGGGCAAGCCACTTAACCCTATCTGCCTCAGTTTCCTTATCTGTAAAATGAGCTAGAGAAGGAAATGGCAAACCATTCCAGTATAACCAAGGAAACCCCAAATGGGGTCATGATTGAAAAATGACTGAATAACAATTTGTTACTTTTGTGTTAAATTTAATATGCACTTGAAAAAATACTATGTAATAGAAATTCATAGTTTCATATAAAATATTTTTGTTTATAATAATAAAGTTCAGGTATATATTATTATGTATTATATACACACAACAATATTTTTATTATTTTACTCTTCATATATTAAGATGCTCGTTTATAAAATTATTTTTTAAAACATTTTGAAAGTGGATGGGGTTACAATTCTTCAACCCTAAACAAATACTACACTTATACTGATGAAACAAAAGATTCTTCAAGTACTGAAGTTGGGTCATATTAGTTTTATTTTGTTTTTTGAGCAGCCCCATCAACAATATTGGCCCCTTGTAGTTAGCTAAACTACACGTCTTAGTTAGCTAAACTACACGTCTTTGTCACATAAACAACTTTAAAAACAGGACTTTTTTATTCCATACTCACAAAAGGCAAGACAGTAACAAGTCCTGGCACACCCTGAAAGCTCCTAGCCAGCTTCTTTCACTTCTGCCTTCACATACACTTCAGCCCCTGCAGACTCATAAACCATTTACAGCCCCACTTGGAACCTCTCAAGCAAAATGGACAA